CTCTGTTTTCTTTCTTCTTTGTTCTTCCTCAGCCAACCTGACAAGGTCATCTGTCTTCTCCGACAACCAACTTTTGGGATCACCTTCTCAGTGGCCATTTCTAGTGTATTGGCCAAAACTATAACTGTGGTTGTGGCTTTCATGGCGACTAAACTGGGATCTCAGATGAGGAAATGGGTGGGGAAAAGATTGCCCTTTTCTATAGTCCTTTCCTGTTCTCTTGTCCAAGTATGTATTTGTATTCTTTGGTTGTCAACATCTCCCCCATTCCCTGAACTGGACATGCACTCAGAGCTTCAAGAAATGATTTTACAATGCAATGAAGGATCAGCTTTCTTCTTCTACTGTGTCTTGGGCTACATGGGTATCTTGGCTATTGCCAGCTTTACTGTGGCTTTTCTTGCCCGTAAACTACCTGACAGCTTTAATGAAGCCAAATTCATCACCTTCAGCATGTTGGCCTTCTGTAGTGTGTGGGTCTCCTTCTTTCCAGCCTATCTGAGCACAAAAGGTAAAGCCATGATAGCTGTGGAGGTCTTCTCCATCTTGGCCTCCAGTACTGCACTACTGGGATGCATATTCTTGCCCAAATGCTACATTATTGTTTTGCGGCCTGACCTCAACCAAAAGGTACAACTCAAAAAGAGGAATTACCACATTGTGTAATATTTGTTGTTCAGAGTTATTTTGAATGTTATTTTGAAGATATTGTCAGGAAAAGAGGTGATACAGGGACACACATAGCCAGAAATTCCACAAATGCAGCTTATGACTACAATTAAGCCCAAAATTTTTGTTGCTAAGTAAAACATTTGTTAAGTGAGTTTTTCCCCATTTTGCGACTTTTCCCCACCACATTTGTTAAATGAATCACTTTGGTTCTTAAATTAGTAACACAGTTGTTAAAGGAATTTTGTTTCCCCATTGACTTTGCTCATCAGAAGGTTGTCAGGGTTCCAAATAGCATCCTCAAACAAATAACACTCCAATTCTAGAAGTTCCTCAAAGTTGTGATTTATTAAAAGAGCCATGTTGGTACACAAGTTCACAAGTTTTCCCACCCAGCTGAAAGTTCAAGATCCTGCCTCAACACTCACAAATTCGTCATAGGTCCAATCTTCCACTGCCAGGAAGACAGAGTCCACCTATCCAGTTCTGGCCAGGTGCAGAGACCAAGGATGACCTTAAGTTTCAAAAAGAATGTTATTATGGCTACATATCACCCAACTCTGTATAATCCCCTCTCCCATTTTCCCACAATAGAAAATGAATAGTAGAAGGTGTGGCAGGCCAGAAGTCCAAAAGAAAAGATGGCTTGCAAGCCTGACAAAGGTTACAAAAAGAGCCGCAGTGGCGCAGTGGTTAGAGTGCAGTACTGCAGGCTACATCTGCTGATCACTAGTTGCCAGCAGTTTGGTAGATCGAATCACACCAGGCTCAAAGTTGACACAGCCTTCCATCCTTCCGAGGTGGGTAAAATGAGGACCCAAATATGCTGACTCTGTAAAACTGCTTAGAGAGGGCTGTAAAGATCTATGAAGCAGAAGATAAGTCTAAGTGCTATTGTTCTGACCCAGGCTTCCCAAGAGTATGAAGCAGCTCCTTGTCCCAATAAAAACCCCTATTATTAATTTACTGTGAATTCTGCTCATTCACATCCAGCAAAGTATTTCAAGGGAGGATTTACAGTCACAGACCTTATCTGCCTTGGAGAGCTATCTGGCTGATATCTGAAAAACTTGGCATGGAATCTCGGAGAGTCACGAACCAATTAAGCAAAATATTTGTCTCCTACAAACTCCACTCTCCTTTCACTCCTCTTTTATTTCTTCTGGGAGGGGCCATTCATCATCCACCTGTGGCCTTACTCCCAAGTTGATCTCTGTTCTTTAGCTGTTCTCTTCATTTGATAACTCTGTACATGTGCACACTGGGAGCAGGATCCTGCTGTTTGTCTGTCTCACTGATGGCTGACTCTGAAGGCAGCTGATAACTGGCATATGGTTCTGGCCCCCTCTCTGCCTCCGACACAGAGCCCTCATCAGAGCCTTTCCCAGACTCCAGGACTGGCCCATGTCCCGCCTGAAACTCCTCACTGTCCAAATCTGCTGCCAGCTCTCCTGGCTACTGATGGGCCACAACAGCTTTTGCTATCACATGACACTGCAACCATCATAAATGTGAGTCAGTTGTCAAGTATCCAATGCATCCTGGAAAAGTGACCTGCCTTCTCCGACAATCAGCTTTTGGCATCACTTTCTCAGTGGCCATTTCTAGTGTCCTGGCCAAAACTATTACTGTGGTTGTGGTTTTCATGGCCACTAAACCGGGATCTCAGATGAGGAAATGGGTGGAGAAAAGATTGGCCTTTTCTATTGTCTTCTCATGCTCTCTCTTACAAGTATGTATTTGTATTGTTTGGTTGTCGACATCTTCCCCATTCCCTGAGTTGAACATGCAATCAGAGACCCAAGAAATTATTTTACAATGCAATGAGGGTTCAGCTTTCTTCTTCTACCATGTTTTGGGCTACATGGGTATCTTAGCTATTGCCAGCTTTATGGTGGCTTTTCTTGCTTGTAAATTACNGCTAAACTGGGGGTGGGCATGGCTGCATCTGGCACATGGGCTGTGAGTTTGACACCCCTGATTTAGACAGCTTAGGCATAGCAGAATGAGTGTGTTACAGCTCAGGTCTTGTAAGTACTATAGTGGTAGACTGATTAAAGAATGGCTTGGATATGTTACATAAATCTTACTGGTTATCATAAAGTAATACATTTACAGCAATTTTCAATTAAATAACAGGAAGCTCTAATCCAGAAATATTTACCCTTTCAAGGGTGAATGTCCTGACAACATATTCTGCAAGTGGTTCCACTTCCACACAAGCAACTTTGAAGTCCCCATAAACTTCCGTGTCATCAGGCCAATACTTGTAGCACTTAACCTACAATCAACAGGATAGAAATATTTCTCAAACAAAGAAACCAGATGAATCACTGGATCATACACAACACATCATTGTTTTTATTTAGTGGTAGATTGTATTTCATAAATGGAAATATGGGGGGAAGTGGTGAAACAATAAAGGTAGAATAAGCATTTTAAAATGCTTATCAATATAATAACCATATATTTCTTATTTTATACATTATGACCTTGCTTTCATATCATTAAAGATTACCCACTCATTTTTACTTACACTCAATTGTTTTGCTTTTACTTTTAATTGTAAAGGAAAATATATAATCCAAAGAATTATTTGACTTTTTCTGCCGTCTCAAATGAATGGATTAGAGGATAAAAAAAGTTTGGTGCTTTTAAGAATGGTACAATAAAAGAGGAGGCATTGGAAAACTGAAAAGTTGATTATATTGAATGTTTTTCACTTAATTCTCTATTTCCTTCTAGAAGGTGGACAACTCATTAGTACTACAGGCATTAAAGATTGGAATTTGTTCTTCCTCATTTTGCTTTTGTTTTTCTTAGCAATGGAACTACAAAATTTAAAGTGGTTTGGCGTTTCTAAGGAGATACTTACTCGACCCACTTCAACTAAATTTGTGACCATAACAATGCAGGCTGATTGTTCTTGCCATATCATTCTCCAGAAATCATAGACTGTCTCATGCACTGGACCTGGCAAAGAAAGTGCTTATAAATGATTTTTTTAAAAAACATCCTATCAAGCTACTATCTTTAAAATAGCTGTCAGGTATTGAAGGCAGGTATGAATGATTTCAGTAATCTTTTAACAACTTCTCCACATTAATAATTAGCATTGAAATATTTCACAGAAACCAGGTTATTAGTTTTTTTAAAAAAATAAAAAAATAA